TCATCAATATAACCCTCGCAAGCTCGGGCTATATTGACTTCAGACTTCAGGCATATATTCAATGATAGGGACATAATGGCTAAATATTCACCAATGGAAGAAGTATTCAGACAAGATGAAAGGTGACAAGGGCAGAAATGGAGAAGTGTTCACCAGAGAGATGTATTCACCAAGGGTAAAAGTACTCAACAAGGGAAGAAGTATTGACCAATGGAAGAAGTACTCAACAAGGGTCCAAGAAGTATTCAGGAAGGAACAAAGTATTCACCAGGGGAAGAAGTATTCACCAAGGATGAAAGTTAATGAATGCAGAAATGGAGAAGTGTTCACCAGAAGAAGTACTCACCAGGAAAGAAGTATTTTTAAGGGACGGACTATTCATAAGGGACGAACTATTCACCAGAGTTTAATTTTAGCAGGAGAGAAGAGTTCTCTAAAGAAGAAGAGTTCTCTAAAAATTGTTCTCACTAAAACAAGTTTCAAAGTACAAACATGTATAGATATTAGATAACCCTGTAGATAACAATATCAATTGATCATTTATTGCAATACTAGTAATGTTATCAACTATTGCAACAGTTTAAAAATAACATGATCGAGGAAGCCAATTTGATCAATTATGTTTACAAAAAAATCTAAGAGAGCTTAGTATCCAATCAGCCAGAGTAATCATATCTATTAACTTGGGATCATTTACATGTCTAAAAGGTTACCATACCCATGTCATGCAATATGGCCCATATAGTCCAACGAGGCCCATATTGTCCAATTAGGCCCTATCTCTCAAGGCCTTGACAGTAACAATAACTCAAAATGTTCAGAATATCTGTTGGCTTTGATTCTCCAATGTCTCAAGGTCTTGACAGTACCACTGTCTCAAGAAAGCAGCAGTCGGATAACCCCTAGGCCCTAGCAGTACTGGCTGTCTTAAGTATATCTCAAGGTTACCTAAAGCCTTTACAGTTAAGAATCCTGGAAAACCTGAATGGCATCAATGTGTCAAGGCCTTAACAGTTCAGAATATTCCAAACCCCTAACTGAGCAAATATTTCAATGCCCTAACAGTGTCACTTTCTTACAATTCAAAATGCCCCAAAGCCCTATCAGTAAAAATGTCTCAATGCCCTTACAGTGTCACTTTCTCAAGGCCTAACAATTCAAAATTCCCTAAAGCCCTAACAGCAAAAATGTCTCAATGCCCTAACAGTGTCACTTTCTCAAGGCCTAACAATTCAAAATGCCCCAAAGTCCTAACAGCAAAAAATGTCTCAATGCCCTAACAGTGTCACTTTCTCAAGGCCTAACAATTCAAAATGCCCCAAAGCCCTAACAGCAAAAATGTCTCAATGCCCTAACAGTGTCAATTTCTCAAGGCCTAACAATTCAAAATACCCCAAAGACCTAACAGCAAAAATGTCTCAATGCCCTAACAGTGTCACTTTCTCAAGGCATTACAATTCAAAATGCCTCAAGGCTCTGATATTGACAATCTTTCAATGCCCCAACAGTGTAGAAATGTTTCAAAGCCCCAAAGGCATAAGATTGCCAAATGCCTCAAAGTTGTAAACTACAGTAAAACCTGTGTATAGTGGACACCCATGGAGCCAAAAAAATGTGTTCACTCTAGAAAAGTGTTCACTACAAAGAGGGAATTATATACAGAACTCAATGTAGTGTATATTGAGAAGAAGTGTTCACCAGACACAGGTGTTCACTGGAGAGAGGTGTTCACTGAATGTTTTTTCTAACGGTTGATCGAAGAGAATTAGTTCGAAAATATTTTAAAGCTTCAAGGGAATGTAGACAGTTTTTTGAATTTAGCGGTACTTGTTTGATACTGAGGCTGAGAATTTGTTTGTCAGTGACGTATTATTTAGCTGGGCTATTATTGGTTCTGGTATGGCCAAGGTGTTTTTGATCACTTCGGCTTTATCTGCGGACCTACACACAGTTCACTAAATTTGCCAGATAAAATGATTAAGTTTTCTCAAGAATAGTATAAATGTACTTTAACGTAGTTCAATCCTATCATTTTATTTGAAGTTAGATTAGTAAGTTAGTTTCAGTCAGATGTTCTAACTTTTGTAAAGCGCTAGTTTTATATTGTTTCTTTACAGTTTATGAACTCTGAAGCCTACATCAAGTCAGTTTCAGCTTAGGATGTAGGTAGACCTCCTATTTGTTTTCAAAGAAGAAACATTTAGGTACTTCTTCACATTCTGTGAGAGGGGTCTCCGAGAAACTGGCACGAGTTCAAGGTTATAATACAACATCATGTAAACAGTTAGTCAAGTTTAGAGAATTCATTCAATCTACATACTAGACATTGTCCATATTGTACGAAACCTAGAGGGTTTCTGGCATACGTATTGTGTCATGTCATCAGACATATTATTTCCCATGTAATGTATAAATTGTTGACTTTCAAGTCACGACAATTGCAAGATGCATTTTGTCGAGAATCTCTGATAGAGATTAGTTAAAGAGTGTTGTGTTTTGTGATGTATAGTTTTCTGTATTTTTGCAATAAACGGGTCGCGCACAAGCCATCCAATTGTAATTCAGGTGTTATGTAAGGTCTGGTGAATGGAGTTGCATTGCTTTAAGACAGTTTTTACTGCATATACAAAAACTGAATTAAGCCTGCTTTAGTTTACATGTTAAGATTAATTCAATTGGTCTGTTAACTTTGTTATAAGTTCGCCCAGTTAATAATAAGGAACCTGGTGACTCATGCAATATAACCTTACACTTAAACTGACACCATGTCATGTTAATTTTACTAGTTTTCTCTGCATTTCACATATGACAATTCCTTTAAGTATTCTGTGTAGTTCTGGATATTAGTTAAATTTCAAATTAATTTTTTCTTCATTTTTTCTATTTTTCAAAAAATATTTATGGAAATTTCCTGTCGTTTTCTACAGGGGATATTGAAAGTACATTACATGTACACTGTATATATATATCACAGCAAGCTTCTGAGATATTACAAAAAAACATATGAAGTAAACCTAACATAAAGTGATCGTAAAATCATCATTATTCACCATTTCACAATATATTCTCAGAAGAAATGTTAGAGATGCAAATAAATTGTTTATTTTTCTTCGGTAAAAAGTGGAAAAGCTACATTATGGAGAAACTGGCTATAAAGTCTACCCAGGGTAGAAGTTAATAATATAAGAGAGGGTCAACAAGTGCTAAAAACTGAAAAATGGATAAAATGATTTAACTTATTCCTCTTAAAATGTGCAAGGACAAACACAAATATTGAGAGAAATAACGAGGAAAATGTCACTTAAATTTAACTAGACATAATATAAATTCTACTTACATTCATGGTATGTTCAAAAATGATAAATATAATGGTGGTTGCTGTCTTACAAATGTTATATATATGAACCATGCAAAAGCTTCCTTCTAGCAATCTGAGTTCAATGAAGGGGACATAGTTCAAAATGTTCTTTGTTAATTTACACCATGGGATTGAATTTTGAGGAATCCTGTATAGAAATATTCTAATGGTCACTTTTAACATATCTCCCAATGCAAAATCTAATGTCATATAACAGTGTAGGCCAATGTTTATAACACAAACACTCAATAAGATCTTCAAAAATATTAAAAATTGCTCCATTTTAATTGTTCTTAATCTGTTGCACCTTTAACAAAGCTTAGAGACTTGAGTAAATCACAACGTTAAGTGAGGAAGCAAGTTTATAAGTTTCTTTCAAAGATGTCAGTAATTGATTGATGTCGACTAACGCATGGGTTTTCTAGGAAGCCCTTCTCACGCGGTACTAGATTCGACCAATAGTTTGAATTTTGACCTACCAGATGTTTGAAAATCAAGGATTGTGAGTCTCATATTGCAAAGATTTTCTTCAAACTTGTACCATTTAATGCATACATTTCTGTTGGTACAATATTCTGTAATACAGAGTTCCTACTTTCAGCGGCATTTTGGTCCCCAGCAGTGAGAAGGGCTTCTCATAGCTGGGGACCAAAACGCTGCTAAAACGAGGGACTCTTTACAATAAAGCAATGCATCGACAGAAAGGCAATTTTGCTTTGCTTTCAATGGAACAAGTTTGAAGAAAACTGGTGCAGTATGAGACTCACAATCCTTGATTTTCAAACATCTGGTATGTCAAAAATTCAAATTAACGGTCGTAGTTAGTACTGCGCGCGTCTAAAGAAACTGATGTCTTATTTGACAAGTTGATGGTATATTTATCTGTCACAATGCAGTGATAAGCTGAAATCAGGTATGATTATGAACTCTTGAATCAAGCACATTCATCACCTTCATTCACACACCAACACCTTATTTGTGTGTAATTTTAAACTATATCACAGTTACGCAACCTGCGGGGAAATAGCCCATAAGAGATGACCCGACAGTGTGAATCCTTCTGGATTTATTGCCACTTCTTATGATGGTAAAAATTAGATCCTTGACTAGGTACATAGATGCACTCATAGGGCTAATATGTTGATGGCCCTATTGATAACCCATCTCATCAGAGCCAGTCAGATTATACAGGTTATGGTCTTACAAGTTACAGGTGGTCAACATCATGACTTGCACATCAATCAAAATATATGTTCCACACATATGTTGTCTTCAGAATATATGATAAGTGAATATTTGAAATGTTTTGATTTTTCTACACTGGATAAGTTTATGACATAATTCTTTTCGCTGTGTCGGTGAAATGGCGATTGATAAAAAATCAAAAATGAAAAAGTTTTCAAAAGTGCCAAAGTTGAGAAAAGTCAATGAAATTGTCATACTTACTGTTTTATTATATTGCTTGAATGATCCGTATAGTTGTATATCCGTTGAAAAGTTTATATATTAGTCATAAAGCCCATAAGAATAAAATAATTTGATAGGTCACACCCTGCGAACTAACAGGTAAATTTCAGGTCAACGTTGGGGGTCCTCAAATTTGACGTCATCAAAATGTGTGCACTTTCAAAACCGGTGACCCTCCTTGTATTTTTTGGAAAAAAATGAGTGAATTGGCGGTTTAAAATGCTTGATTATTTGGGCATAATGTTACAGGGAAGCATGTGCATTCGATTATCTTGTGATTGACTGCCGTTATTTGAAGAAAAATGTTTGTTTACAAAAAGTGGGCGCGGTTGTGCCAGAACGAGGCTGGGGATTTCCGGGGTTTTCCAAATCTGGTGAATTTGGAAAATGTCATCCACTAGATCTTTTGAATATTTTAGGTATTGCATTTATTTTAGCTTATCTTGAGATATTTTATTAAAAGTATTATATTTTAATGTTCCATCTGTTATAATATGTAAGATTAGTTTGACTTGCTCTTGGTCCAGTTTATGATCTTTTGATATTTTTCTCAATTTTGTGATTCTTACAGTGACAATGATGATATATAATATCCCAGATTGGCAACTTGAGTGATTATGAACATGCTTGAAAATGGCAGGGCTCTAGTGGCATATGGGCAGAGACCATTTGTTCAGCGTGGAAGTTCTATCCATTGATCTTCATCCTCCGATCACAGGGCTTCAAAATCCAGAATATATTTTTTCTTTTTACCCCCTGCGATAAGCAGTTAGCATTTCCCTGATTAAGAACTCACAAATTGATTGGCTGTCGCAGCACTGCGACAGAAATCATGCATAAGTCATCGCGCATAATTAGATCACATGATTCAGTTTAATCGGGCGCTTCCAAATTGGTTATAGCAGGGGGAAGAAGGAGGTACAGATTCTGGATACCTGCTTAGGAGGATGCAGGTTCATGGTCTCGCACGAAAAGAACTAACACTATCTGTGTGCCATGGAAAAATCTTGTTATTTTCTATATTAATCTATCTTCATCAATAATTTGAGACTTATACTTATAAAAAATATTCTCCTGTTTAATTGTAGATTATTTAGTAGGTTGAAGCTGTTCCAACCAGTATGTTTGAGATGTCACATTCACAGGAGAACACTCTCCCAAGACAGCAATGCCATAATGACCATCCAACAAGGTAATTTCCTCAATATTCCATTTAATTCTACATAATACTAAATTAAGTGACATCTTTCAAGTGATATTCTCAGATGAATGAAAATAACATAGAACTTTTTATGTCATGTCATGTTTCACAGAATGAGAAACATAATTATAGTAATATAGCCAAGGTGCAACTACAATTATTGTTACTGACTCCAACTTCTGGTGATATATCTGCAGTATTGAGTGAGGCAAATATAGGTGATGCATCTCAACAGCACAGAAAGTTTTTTCCTAAAATGTAACAAATTACCATTATATTGCCTTAATTATTTTGACTTCCTATATATTTCAGTGAGAGACAATATGAAGGATATACTTGGAGCACAGAAATTCTACTCAAAGTAAGAAACCAGGAACATAAGAGATGACAGTATAAATGGTATAAACACGTATCAGTATAAATTATGAGGTTGAACATACAATTTATATCTCCTAAAGGGACTTAGGTCTTGCAGGTACAGTAGATATGTCACCACTGGGAAATATGCACTCAAAATGAAAGTTGGATGCCTTGGGTGCCTCAAAATAGTGTTCCACTTTGAAGGTGTCTCATTTACAGAGATTTTGTTAAGTTAATGGACTGCAAAAGGTGTTACACTTATGGAGGTTTTCAACTTATTGAGGTGTTCCACTTGACAGGTTCTGCTGCAATTTACTATGTTCCGAAAGGCTTAACTTAGTTAAGTTGTTTTGGGATGTATCTATATGTGAGGACTTGAAGCTTTCTTATGCCTGCTTCTTATGAAAGTACAAATTTTTAAAGGACCACTTTAACATATCCTTTATGGAATAAAAATATGCATTATGTTAATTGTAGAAAAATGGTATTTGTGTTGTCTGTAAAGTAAATATTTTCTGGCCTTTGACTGTCACTTTAAGTTAGGTATTGCAAAGCTTAATTTAAAGAATATTTTCTAGGGATCCGAGTGCACCATCAAAACCTGCAATAGATGCCAGCACCATAGAATCCCAGAATGCATTGCCAAGCAGACGGATAGCAGATAGTGAAAATGAGTCATACATAGAACTAAGCCAAGATGATGTGAGAGAGAAATATTTAACATGGTTGAAAACTATAAGATTTGGTCGAATTCTTGAAGATCTGGATACATTTGCAGGTTTGATATAGTAATCTTTGAATATAGTAGCCTCTGAATGTAGTAACACCTGAGTGAAGTTACCTTTGAATATACAATGTAGTACTTTTTGATTTAATGACTTTGAGTTAAATGATTTATAGGGTCTATATTGATAATGATGGGAATCAAATTCCGAGGATTTGGTACATCTTAAAGTTTATAAGAGTCAAAGTTGTCTTAATATGTTTTACTGGACATGTATGTTAAATGATCTATCATACGCAGGGAATTGTGTATTAGCTAATGTGTTGGCTAATACTCCAATACGCGATAAAGTGTAGTTGAGTTCAGTTTAATTACCTCCCGTTTGAAGATCTCTCATGTAGGGTACAACTTTGTCTACATCCGGGTTCTTTCCTATTGGATTACACAGGGGTGCGATTTTCAATGCCGCACTGCGGCGGTATTAAACATTTATGTAGAGTTGCATTTGCACAAACAATAGATATGAATGTAATTAAGATACACAACAAGGCTTTTTGAACAATAATCCCCAAATCCGAAGAAATCTGTAGTTGAAAATACCGTCCAATTCCATTGACGTCACTGATTTCCCAGAAATTGCTCAGATGACGTTGAAGATCGAAAAAATATAAATAGTGCTACTTTGAATCTCCGATTATCTTTCTGATTATTGAATATATTGGATCATATAACTATGCTTGAGGGCTGATAAAAGATCGGAAGCTGAGAAACTGGCATTTTGTCAAGATTCATGCTAGTTTTATCAGAATTTTGTTCGAGTAATCGTCTACCATTTTGATGCTATACATACGCTATGATGTAATCATCGACTAATGAAATTATAGGATCATGACCTTTGACTTTGCAATCTCTGGATGTTTTGTTCAGAGTAATCGACTCTTTCGGCGGGCCTATGAAAATTTGTCCTTTCCAAAGCTATGTATTATGGGAGATATTTATGTAAATTACCACCTGAACTCTTATTGCGAATTGGAGTATTGATGTGATTTGTATTTTCAGTATGGACCAGCTTTAAACACAACAGTCAGCCATGGAGAAAGATCAGTTGTGTCACAGCTCTGGTGGATAGAATAGGTAAGGATAGAAGACTAGGATAGGGTGCAGAATTGATAAGGAAAGGGTGGCTAATCTCACTCACAAATGAATCTGGAAATTGGCATGAGTGCAAAATTTCTTTTTTAAAATACTTGGGCCTTAATTTTGACAGTCAAAAACACTCTAAATAAATCCAAAACAAAATAAAGGCTTTATCATAGGTGATCTCACAGGCCCATTATGAGCTGATATGACACATTATACAGATCTTATTATGTCATCACTAAAAGTGGTGACATACTGTATTGTTATGGTTTCCAACTTTTTTAGCAATTGGAATATGTAACATCTACAATTTCAGAGATGAGGGGTGTGTTGCAGACATTGAGGAATGATGGTGACATAAAAATGAAAGGTCGCGTTACATGGGCTGGGACTTCATCAATGGAGGTCACTATGAATTTACAACAGGAGGTAATTACCCAATCTGCAATGCAGGTTATGAGCAACAGAATTAATTCTTCCAATGCCATCTTTATATTACTTATGCTATCACATTTTCTCTATTACAGCACTCAACTAATAACTGGGTAGATTTCCTGGAGGCAAAGTTCTTAATGGTGGCACGTGATCCAGTCAGACAAAGGTCAGTTAATGAGTTTTACATGTGTGTATAACTGACCTGGTTCACTCAAGTCTATGTTTACTGGGATCTTTATTTGAATTACATGTTTCATATCAAAGTGATAGAAAATCTTCAAAAAAAATTAAAATATGTGTCTCAAATTTTTTCTTTTAAATTTTTTATTCCAAAGAACATCTCTATTCTAAATACTGTATAACATGAAATATTGCTGTGGATATAAAGTTGCCGATTGCCGAATGTAAAACAGAAACGGCAACATAAAATTCGGAAATATAATTAAGTAATTGAAGATCGATCTTTGTGGGCAATAATATGGTATTGTCTAAGGTGTGTCAACTTACTGTAATAGGGTAATTTTCTAACGAGTATCAACTTACTATACTTTAACAAAAATCATAAATAAAATACGATAAAATCGAAGCTTTATTCCTCAGCATAGAATTACAATAAAAGTTTTTAATCCCGATATTAAAAGTTTTTAATCCTGTTATTAATTGTCCTGAGTCTATCGAATGCGGGTAATCACTCAAATTGTCACTCATAATGTCAGGATGTCAGGTTTTCTAAGTCAGTAAAATGAAGGTGATTAAAATTCAGTTGTAAATCAAAATTATATTAGAGGTGTCAGCTTAGCATTTACATTTAGGGGTGTCAGGTCAGCAAACTTTTATTCGGCAATAACAATTTTAATCCAATTCGGAAAATAAAGCACCCGGATTTAATACATGTTATACAGTATTCCATCTTTTATATAACAACCTTCAATTTAATGATAGCTTAAATGTGTGCAAACTGTCTGCATTTAACACTAGTTCACATGCAACAGTATCTTGCCAATTTCACTCTGCAGTTTCATTTTGCATATTTGGAACTTTAACTACCATCACTTTTTGTTTCTTCAATATTTTCAGAAAGGCATTTGTTAACCCTTTGGTGCCTGAGGGAGAGGAAGAACAAAAACTGTATGACCTTGGCGCAAGTGAGTATAATATAGAAATCAAAGGGATTTCTCAAAAAGTTTTGCCTTAAATACTTATCAATCACAGTCTGTATTTTGGCAGAACATATCATAAGACAATGTCTAATTTGTTATTTTTGCATAGGAACAGAAGAGAGATTTGATTTCCCCAAGGCCCACAAACCACACTGAAATCATGAATGACTTCTGCTAAAAATGATACATGATAAAATGAGCCTTTTGTGAGTTGTCAACTGATGTGTTTGTTTTCAAAGAATGAAATTAAATGTTTCATTGATATCTGCACTCACTGGTTGCCAATGGAAGGTGCTTCAGGGAGTAAAACAAAAAAGTATGAATATAATGTAAAATAATAGATAATAGATGAGGCAATACAATACAATACAATGAAATACAATACAATACAACATAATACATGTACAATGAAATACAATACAGTAAAACTTGTGTATAGTGAACATTTTTTTGCCAAGAAAAAACGTTCACTGTAGGAAGGTGTTCACTAGAGAGAGGGTAATTTATACAGAAGTCAGTGGACTATGTTAGTAGGAAGGGTGTCCACTAGGGACAGGTGTTCACTAGAGAGAGGTGTTCACTAAGACAGGTTTTACTGTACAATACAATGCAACACAAAACAATTCAATTAAACACAATAAAATGCAATACAGTGCAACACAACACAATGATACCTAATCTACAATCTGCATCCAGGAATCTACATGTATGTATTGTGTTGCATTGTAACGTCACATTTGGGATCAGAATGGCAGTACAAATGCATTCACCTTGCTTCAAGACCCTGGACTTTCAACTCTTACAACTGTGTTGTTTAGATAGGAGTCAGGTCCACAGTCTACTCTTGAAGCAAGACTAGACGAAATCTGTCTAACTTGTGATGAATTTCATCATACTGAAGTGGACTATCATTATTGACATAACTCCACATCCTAGAATCCAATGTTCCACAATTCTACTTTCTAGAGTGCAATGCAGCTAGACATCAAACCAAAATACAAGCACTGGACAAGACACCTCCCAATGAAGAAGAAGTCAAAATAGTCCATGATTTCTTCTTGCAGAAATTATATGTTTCATTGATATCTGCTTTCTAGAGTGCAATGCAGCCAGACATCAAACCAAAATACAAGCACTTGACAAAACACCTCCCAATGAAGAAGAAGTCAAAATAGTCCATGATTTCTTCTTGCAGACTCTAGATCCTGGGTAAGAGTTGTTTAGGATATTTATTCATTTACCTTATTGAGGTGAGCACCCGGGCGCTTTAAATAAGTCAAAACAGTTCAAAAAGTTGTCCTTATTAGCGCCCGTCCCAACTGAGAAAAATGCTGGAGTCTCACTTTCAGTTTAGAAAAAAAATTGGAAAATATCTTTGTGAAATTCATCTTGATCTACAAGGTTTTGATTGTTGCTAACTCACCTTGCTAAATCTGTTCGATTTAACTGACCACTGTGTAAATAAACCCCAGCTGAGTTCACTCTCAATATTGCTTCTGACAGTTGCCCGCAGAGTTTTGTGAGACGCCACAAAACCAATCGGCCAATAAACGATGTGATATTTATCAGACACTCCAAGTGCCACATTTTCATGTTTTTATCACGTTTTATCTATCAATTTTCAGCTTATCATGATTCACGTTTTGGAAATCGAGTATCACGGTAAATAGGCATTTCTGACTGATTTTCTCTCACTGTTTTCACCATCAGTGCTATGTGGTTAGATTTTATTTTAGTTTATAGAGATGTTTCAAGGGTGTTCATACTTTGATGTTGTCGATTTAAGACCTTTTTGAAATTCTCTGATACCTACATATAATACAAGAATTCAATCATATACAATGAATAAAATATAAATATTTTGTGGTACTGATCAGAATCATTGTGAGTGACCTATCCCAATCTGATTTTGTAAGAGTTGAAATGAGAAGTGCTCAAAATGCACTATTTTTATATTTTTTTCATCAATCATTTTAGACAAAAACAATAACTTCTTTATCTCTCTAGGCATCTACATTCAGTTATGTATAAGCAAGCATAGAATGCTATATAAAATCTTTGGAGCAATCAATGAATATCTGCTTTTATGTGAAGAGAGTGATTCAGGAGGATTAAATTCCCTTATTTGCTGCTCTGGAATGTGGCAACTGGAATTATGAATTCTCTGTTTTCATCATCATGATTAGCAAAAATAAGAGGAACAAAACTAAATAGGTTTATTGTTGGCTATATAATACAATGACACAATTTTATTATACATTAAACGTGAAAGCATGGCATGTACTATAGTACATATTTTGTCAGTATTGTTACAATTGCCACTTATGCCAATTTATTAACCTTGACAGTTTCATCTGATGTACATTTTTATTGATTATTAGAAATAGTCTGAAAATTAAAAATATACATAACACCGACCTGAATTTTTACAATTTTTTATAATTTTATATTACCAAAGTGGATTACACAATTTGGTTACTGCATTTTCAAAAAAAGTGCATATAGACTGCAGTAGTACTGTACACTAGGTTACATGTATATGATATGTGAAAAAAGTGCATATAGACTGCAGTAGTACTGTACACTAGGTTACATGTATATGATATGTGAAAAAGCGCATATAGACTGCAGTAGTACTGTACACTAGGTTACATGTATATGAGATGTGAAAAAAGTGCATATAGACTGCAGTAGTACTGTACACTAGGTTACATGTATATGAGATGTGAAAAAAGTGCATATAGACTGCAGTAGTACTGATTAACTTTAATTTTACTATTGATTTTTTATCAATCATATAAAAGTATACTTTAAGTATTTTCAATTCCACTATTTAGAGTAACATTATCCTGTTCAAGGTGTAGCCAAAAATTTGTTAGGAAAACATTGTGAACATGTGCAAAAAGCACCATCGTAGTGGTTCATATATGGTTGATGTCTGGACATCTAGGATGGAAGACCTTTTATGAAGATATTACAGCTGTTGCTTGGATTGCTCCAATAGAAGATGTTCCTTGGATTGCTCCAATAATACCTCCAATAATAGCTCCAGCTGGTCCTAATGATGCAATTGCAGCTACTTGTCCTGCTACTCCAATAACAGCTCCCATTGGTCTTAATGTAACTCCAGCTGCTGGTCTTAATGCAACTCCAGCTGCTGTTCCTCCAATAATAGATTCTGCTGGTCCATCTGGCGCTCTCGTTATAGCTCCAGCAAGAACAGCAGTATCATGTGGAAGTCTGGATGGACCAACTGTCGAAGCATCCCCCAAAGCATCTGTTCCAGAATCAGCCTGAGACTTTGATTGAATTTCCTTTTGTAGTTGGGTGCACTGTAGCTCTAGGTTTTCTATAGTGTTATCCTTCACGGCAGAGCTTTCAACTTTCTGTTCATACTCCTCTTTAAGTTTGCCAATTACATTTTCTGTGCGTAACAGAGTATTCTTTGATATTTGCAATTCATTTTCATAGCGATCCAAACTTCGTCTTAACTTGTCGTTCTCATCAAGAAATTCATTTAACTTTTGGGTCATGTGATCAAGGTGTCTCTTGCTGTCTTCTGCCTCCTTACTTTTTGCATGGTAGCTTTCCTGAAGCTTGGCAGTAGCTTCAAGTTGTTGTTTGATTTTACTCCTCAGGTGGTGTCTTTCTTCATCTTTCTTTTTAATGATATGGTTTGTATCATTAAGTTCATCCTTTGCTTGATTAAGTTCTAGTTCCATCTTTTTGAGTTTGGTTTCTATAACATTGTAACATTCAATGCCCCTATCTCTATCCTTCTCTACAAACTCAAGATGAAGCTTTATATCATTAATAGTCTTATCCTTGATATCTGATATGTCTGTTTTCTGTTCAAATGCTTTGATTTTATCTTGCATGTACTGATAGTCTCTTGGAGACAGTACAACATACTTGACCCCATCAATGAGCACAATTCTCTCCTGTATTTCTTTTGAGACCTTTACCTCTTGACCCTGCTGTGATAGGATTGTCTCTACAGGTACACAATGTTTACAGTCTGTATCACGTGCTGTGTAGACTGTGCCTGGCTCATGCTCTCTGGAGCTGTTCTGCTCTACCAAGATAGGGTACCTCACCTGATGTGTTGTGTTGGTGTCGACTGCTTCTGTAAATAAACAAAGTATAATGTAATACCAATATTAACAACATGTCATGGCAGTCATTCTTTGAATTAATATACAAGTATAAAGGAATATAGGGTAATAAACAAGGAACAAGCCATGGTCACTGACTGAAAGGTGGCTACACCCCTGATGGTAGTTATAACTTATTGAACATCTTGTTCTTTTTTGTAACCTTCTAATATCACATTTAAAAAAACATTTGTAGCCTATTGAAATAGCAATGTATTTATGTGATCGTTACCTGCCATTTTTATGGTGGCTTCTTTCAGATCTTCAGGCCAATGTAAAACACTCCTCCAGTATTCTAAAATATATATTGAAGCCTTTCTTATTCAACATTATAATAAAGTGTATAATACAATGTTTCAAGCTTGTAAATGATTTGCCATTATTACTCACATTGCCATTTTTAAGAAAACAAATGAAGACAATTCAATATGCAACGACACATTAAGATTGATGCAGTATTTGATGTTGACAAGCATTTCTATTATGAATGTTTTTTGTCATCATGTCAGCCATTTTTAATTTGATTTTTGCATAAAATGATACATGCTGTAAAATACAGAGTAAAATACTCAACTTAACCATTTGATCCTTTTTTATAAGTACATAATAAATATGAAATATATCCTTTTTACCTTTTTTATACCCTTTGATGCTTTATTCTGTAGTGTTTTACTCAACAAACTTTTAACAATCCATCGGTTGGTATTTCCATTATGGCAAAAATAACCGAATATGTTACATATGCTGATGCAAAAGAAGTAGTCCCAGCACACTTGTGATCTGGATACAGTTCATAAGTTTGTCTATATGTGCAGTTGTTATTTACCTTTTTTGTAATCGGTACACATTGTTCCCTCTAGGTGTATGTTTATTTCTGCAATCTTACAATACATATTGATTTGAATGGCGTAGGAATTTTGTCTTAATTTCCAGAATATCTTCGTAGCATTTCGTTCAGTGTGCACAAGAGTACTGAATGAATTGTTAAGAAATTGAAACATCCAGCTGTAGGCAGAGAAAAAGGAGGTCACATCATAATTGACTGTTTGATGACTAGCTCCTATTGAATTTACATTTCGTGTCAAAATGAAGCTTTGGATGCATTTATATTTACACTTACAATCTCCATTGAAAAAGGGTTGAATGTTTGGCTTATACCTACATTTTTAGAACTTAACAAGTGAAATTACTTTGTATACTTGATATGCATTGCATACTGCGACTTGAATAAATAAAAAACCTCAAAATCAAATACAAAGTGTAAAAGGTCTTTATAAGTGCAGCAATACTGGCAAAATAACCTTTTAAAGTGATCCATTATTGGGGACTTTTTGCATTTGTACATGTTTCGCATGTTTTGTGTTTTGAAAATCTGACCCTAGTGCCCCTTCCTCTTTATGTATTACTAGCAAATAATACCGGTATGTTAATGTTATTCTATTTCTTATCATTGTTGGTTATCCATTTTCAGGCAGACGACATTCAAAGTACGGGTGCTGCCACCTAATTCAACATGGATGGAGAATGCCTTGTTGAAAAGTGTCATATTGTGTCAGCCAGAAGTAAGTTTTATTGTTATCCAGTTTTACTTAAATGACAACTTTAGTTTCACACCAGAAATAGTCTAAAATTGATGTTAGAATAATACATAGATTCTCATGTCTAATGATCATATCAATGCAATGAAATATCCCTAGCTCCCAAAATTGATCGACCCCCGGCCCTAATACAGCCCATTGTTTATTTATAGTATTGTAATGTAGAATTCAAGAAATGGGACATTAAATTAGACATTGTTTACATTGCAAGGATTTTTCTTCATATTGTTTAAAATTTTGTTGTTAAACTTGAAAGTACCGACTTGCGTTGAATTTAATGGAAAGTTGTGAACCAAATTGTTACATTTTATAATAGCCTGAAAATTATATTTTAATTGTCTTGTCATATACAAGGGGCGATCCATATATTCTGATAAAAATGCTCTCATTTTGTGATTTTTTCACATATCCCTCTCATTTTTTCAGAAAATATAGATTATGTAATTACACATACATAATTAAAATATTATAGCTATATCTTAAATTATCAATGAGATAAGGCTGCCATGGTAACCTGTATTAAGGGTAGGCAGGTCAATTTAATTATAAATAGAAAATGTACTTTATGTAAATCTGGCAATATTGAGGATGAGGAACATTTTATTTTTAATTGTACATTTTATAAGGAAATAAGGAAAACATATTTACAAAATCACCAAATTTTTGAAGAAACAGAATCAACTACGGATCAGAAGTTTCAGTATTTATTTGAATAAATGCCTAGGCAAGCTGCTCATTTTGTTAAACTTTGTTATTTTAAAAGAAGAAATGCCATTTATAATGTAAATTGAATTTAACTGCATGTATGTGTCTAAGAAATTCATGCTAGTATTTTTTTTAAATTGTTTGTTATGAATCTAATTGTAATTTTTAACATTAGTGGTTGATAAGCCCAAGTGGGCTGGGTTGCTTTTTATTACTTTTCTTTTGTATTGTATTGTATTGCATTGTATTGAACCTACCACTGTAAATAACAATAAAACTAAACTAAACTATAGCATATAAATATCAAAATAACTTGTTATTTTAATTATTTTAAAGCTTGCGGAAATCATGCATTTTTTCTAAAAAAGTTTGGTTTTGTTACTCGTTGTTTGTTGCTAAACAAATGTTTATATGTGCTCACTATAACATCACAACAAATCACAATAGCATTGTAGGACAGAATGGGCCAATTGACATTACATGTTATGAGACACACCAAAAATCAAATTGTCAGATTAGGTTAATGTGGCTGATGCAGAGTGTCACATTAACGGATACATTAGGGAATACCATTAGATTTGATTTTCTTTCAAGAATAAGTAAGAGGACACTTTCAGAGACATACATGGACTCATAAAGTGCATGGGCAAGGTGTTATATCTGCATAAAGAATATATAGGTAGTATTGTAAAGAGGAAAGCATGGTCACTGTTGAAGATCATCTGTAATCTGGTTGTAAGAAGAGCTTGCGGACAGAGAATAACACTACGATAAATTGAGATGTTACTTATGAATAGATAGCTATGCCACTGTATAAATTATCAAATAAGGGCAACAGGGGTATGGAACAGATCAATGAATGGTTGACAATGACTGGAAGATGCGTTTGATCTGCTTAAAATAGGTACCGAGGAATGATTAAATTAACATATTTATCTATTTTAGATGTTATAATTTAACTGACCTGCCTACCCTAAATACAGGTTACCATGGTTACCTTATTTCAAAATTAATTTAAGATACAGCTAAAATATTTTAGCATCGTATGTGTAATTACATAATCTTCATGTTCTGAAGAAATGAAAGGGATATGTGAAAAAATCACAAAATGAGAGCATTTTTATCAGAATATATGGATCGCCCCTTGTATATTCAGCTTCAAAATGCTTCCAATAAGCCCATCTCATCATCTTTGTGAAACCTGATGTCATATAGCATGCATTCCATGACAATGAGATTTGATTGTTTGATATGATTTTTTGGGGCTCTTGTACTTAAATAAACTCATCATTTTCAGGAGAGGAACCTCTATAACAAGATATTTGGAGGTTTCCTCATGAGAAAAGCTTATGAAGTGGGTTGGATGAATGCTTATACATACAGGTAAGGGTATTACTGGTATTATCTCAAATAACTGATGAAGGCTTATGAAGTGGGTTGGGTGAATGCTTATACATACAGGTAAGCTCTCTAATTAGTGATAAAGACTTATGAAGTGGGTTGGGTGAATGCTTATACATACAGGTAAGCTCTCTAATAACTGATAAAGGCTTATGAAGTGGGTTGGATGAATGCTTATACATACAGGTAAGCTCTCTAATTAGTGATAAACGCTTATGAGTGGGTTGGATTAATGCTTATACATACAGGTAAGCTCTCTAATAACTGTTAAAGACTTATGAAGTGGGTTGGATGAATGCTTATACATACAGGTAAGCTCTCTAATTAGTGATAAAGACTTATGAAGTGGGTTGGGTGAATGCTTATACATACAGGTAAGCTCTCTAATTAGTGATAAAGACTTATGAAGTGGGTTGGGTGAATGCTTATACATACAGGTAAGCTCTCTGATGACTGATATAGGATCATGCATACATGTTTTGTTGTAATGTATTGGTGTTGAGCCCCTTGTGGTTTGCTCTATCTATTGAATGAAAATTACAGTGAAATGTACATGTTTATGGACGAAGTTTTTTACTTGGGTTCTTCGTCTAATATATTAATGTATTTGTAATGACATGTGTCAAAAAAGTTAATTCTTAATTGAGTTTGAAATAGTTTTTATTATGTCCCCACCACATAGTGTGGGGCCATATTGTCGTCCTAGACGCGTCCGTCCGTCTGTCTGGTTGTTTGTCTGTCTGTCCGTCCGTATGTCCGGCATTTTTCTCCAAAACCGCTACAGGTATCACCTTCTAATTTTCAGGAATAATTTATGAGTGCCTATAGATGTGGATGAAAAAAATTTAACTCGAAACCTACTTCCTGTCGGCCATTTTGAAGTCAAATGCTAAAATCCTTGTCTGCAAACTTTAAGAAAAACTGCTTCACAGTTGCTTTTAAAACTTTAACATCTTGTTCAGCTCACTTCATTCTAGATCTGATTAGCTTTTGGACCTGCTAGCTCAGTCATGTCAGCCATTTTGAATGTCTTAAGAGTAGTTAGCACGCGATAATACTTTGTATCATATTGAATGGTGTTTTTGAGTTTTCATACTTTAACTATTTAGTAGCTTTATAAATAATTTCAGATGTACTTTGCTGTAAAAGCCTACTTTATTGTTAACAGTAGTTATACAAGGGGCGATCCATATATTCTGATAAAAATGCTCTCATTTTGTGATTTTTTCACATATCCCTTTCATTTCTTCAGAACATGAAGATTATGTAATTACACATACGATGCTAAAATATTTTAGCTGTATCTTAAATTAATTTTGAAATAAGGTAACCATGGTAACCTGTATTTAGGGTAGGCAGGTCAGTTAAATTATAACATCTAAAATAGATAAATATGTTAATTTAATCATTCCTCGGTACCTATTTTAAGCAGATCAAACGCATCTTCCAGTCATTGTCAACCATTCATTGATCTGTTCCATACCCCTGTTGCCCTTATTTGATAATTTATACAGTGGCATAGCTATCTATTCATAAGTAACATCTCAATTTATCGTAGTGTTATTCTCTGTCCGCAAGCTCTTCTTACAACCAGATTACAGATGATCTTCAACAGTGACCATGCTTTCCTCTTTACAATACTACCTATATATTCTTTATGCAGATATAACACCTTGCCCATGCACTTTATGAGTCCATGTATGTCTCTGAAAGTGTCCTCTTACTTATTCTTGAAAGAAAATCAAATCTAATGGTATTCCCTAATGTATCCGTTAATGTGACACTCTGCATCAGCCACATTAACCTAATCTGACAATTTGATTTTTGGTGTGTCTCATAACATGTAATGTCAATTGGCCCATTCTGTCCTACAATGCTATTGTGATTTGTTGTGATGTTATAGTGAGCACATATAAACATTTGTTTAGCAACAAACAACGAGTAACAAAACCAAACTTTTTTAGAAAAAATGCATGATTTCCGCAAGCTTTAAAATAATTAAAATAACAAGTTATTTTGATATTTATATGCTATAGTTTAGTTTAGTTTTATTGTTATTTACAGTGGTAGGTTCAATACAATGCAATACAATACAATACAAAAGAAAAGTAATAAAAAGCAACCCAGCCCACTTGGGCTTATCAACCACTAATGTTAAAAATTACAATTAGATTCATAACAAACAATTTAAAAAAAATACTAGCATGAATTTCTTAGACACATACATGCAGTTAAATTCAATTTACATTATAAATGGCATTTCTTCTTTTAAAATAACAAAGTTTAACAAAATGAGCAGCTTGCCTAGGCATTTATTCAAATAAATACTGAAACTTCTGATCCGTAGTTGATTCTGTTTCTTCAAAAATTTGGTGATTTTGTAAATATGTTTTCCTTATTTCCTTATAAAATGTACAATTAAAAATAAAATGTTCCTCATCCTCAATATTGCCAGATTTACATAAAGTACATTTTCTATTTATAATTAAATTGACCTGCCTACCCTTAATACAGGTTACCATGGCAGCCTTATCTCATTGATAATTTAAGATATAGCTATAATATTTTAATTATGTATGTGTAATTACATAATCTATATTTTCTGAAAAAATGAGAGGGATATGTGAAAAAATCACAAAATGAGAGCATTTTTATCAGAATATATGGATCGCCCCTTGTATGTGATAATTTTGTAAAAAGAAATCAGCAAAAACTCATAAGGACTTTTTTATTGTCGGCCATTTTGGATTTTTCGGTCCTAAAATCTTGTCTGTGAAGTCTTGTGTGCGCGTTTTCAGGTGAACCGTTTGGTGGATCAATTTCAAATTTTCAGGGATGATTCTTAGTATAAAAAATCTAGATCTCATTAGTTTTTTGGCATTCTGGGTAAATGTCAAGGCAGCCATTTTGGATTTTCCGTCCTAAAATCTTGTCTGTAAAGTCTTGTCTACTCGTTTTCAGGTGAACTGTTTGGTAGATCAATTTCAAATTTTCAGGAATGATTCTTATTATGAAAATCTAGAACTGATTAGTTTTTTTGCATTCTGGGTAAATGTCAAGGCAGCCATTTTGGATTTTCTGTCTTAAAATCTTGCCTGTAAAGTCTTGTCTACGCGTTTTTAGGTGAACGGTTTGATAGATCAATTTCAAATTTTCAGGGATGATTCTTTGTATGAAAATCTACATCTGATTACTTTTTTTGCATTCTGCGTAAATGTTAAGGCAGCCATTTTGGATTTTCTGTCCTAAAATCTTGTCTGTAAAGTCTTGTCTACCCGTTTTCAGGTGAACCGTTTGGTAGATCAATTTCATATTTTCAGGGATGATTCTTAGTATGAAAATCTACAAACAGATTAGTTTTTTGACATTCTTGGTAAATGTCAAGGCAGCCATTTTGGATTTTCCATCCTGAAATCTTGTCTGTAAAGTCTTGTTTACATGTTTTCTGGTTAACTGTGTGACGGATCAATTTCAAATTTTCAGGGGTGGTTCTTAGTATGAAAATCTAGAACTGACTAAATTTTTGGCATTCTGGGTAAATTTTAAGGTGGCCACTTTGGATTTTCTGTCCTCAAATTGTGTTGGTAAAGTCTTGTCTACTCATTTTCAGGATAACCATTTCACGGGATCACCACTTGGTGGGGACATTTTGTACACATTTGTGTTCTTGTTATGATTGAATTCTTTTGTTTACATTTATTTCTCTCTGTGCATTCTCAACTAGCTTTTAAAGAGAAATGTTTGAGATCAATGAGGAAGTGGAATAGCATTGTAGAACAACGATTTCTCCCTTTAATCTTTTACCATTTATGTTATGTGTATCTTTTCATTACAAAATGTTGTACTTATACCTTAAACATATTCTAGTAAAGGTTTACACATAAATGTAGTAAATGTTTGTAATTTATGCTTATTGTAGTATACATTTGTCAATTACAATGATACAAGTGAATGTGTTACCATTCTACATGTTCCAGTAAAAGTGTGTCACTGTTTACACATAAATGTAGTAAATGTTTGTAATTTATGCTTATTGTAGTATACATTTGTCAATTACAATGATATCAGTGAATATTTACCATTCCATATTCCAGTAAAAGTTTGCCACTGATTACAACTGCAGTTGATGACATTTCATTCCAAAGATCAGTAGAACTGGGGTCCTTGCTGTTCCTCTCTTCTCAGGTAAAACTTTTGCTTAACAAGGAAATCAGAGGAATTCAAAGCTAATCAAGCATAGGCCTTGGAACATGTATAAAAAAGATTGAGTCAAATACACCGAAGTAAAGAGATTGGTCTCTTTGCTTGGTGTATTTGACTCAATTTTTTTATACATGTTCTCGGGCCTATGTAATCAAGTGAAAATGCTTGTTCTCGAAAGGTTTGAACGAGGAAAGGAGTACATTTTAAAACATCTCTAATATGGACACCTCAAAATGAACACTTTTTTTTTGATAAAAATAGACAGGTTTTATTGTATCAGGTTTCAAAATTCTTTCAAAACCCTGTAGTTTTTCACCATCTTGATCACTTTGAGACATTTTGGCCCAAAATTGTTCCTCCCCCTTGGAAAAAGCTGGCTAAGGTATATACATGATCATATTGTGGATACTTCAAGTGAACAAATTCTGTTTTTAAGGGATGGGTGAAAACATAAATACAAGTATTTAAATTCTAGTACCTCACACATGTTTTTGTCGTATATTACGATACATTGTAGAGAATTTCCAAAATGAGTTTTATAAAAAGCATTGCTATATTTTGTAGGTAGTCTACACCAATGGCCCTCACATGCAGATAAAGGTCAGGGCAGAAGTGTTTGATCCTGTAAGTGGGACTAGATTCACCACCAATACTTTCCACTTCACCCTCTCAGCCACGAATGGCCCTGTACCCAGCGTGGTACCAAAAACATATGCAGGTAAAAAAATACTATACTTTGGTTAAAATATGTATGAGGGTTTTCCCAGAAGTAATGCACTATATGCTCTAACTTTATCAATAATTGATATTTTTTCATGAAATTTTTAGTAAATGTTCCTTAGAGACATTTTGATTATTCTACAAATTTTCATGTTGACTGATAAAACTATCTTGATGTTATAATAAAATCAAGTTTGTGAGTTTGGGTAGGGTGGGGCAGGTAATACAGTCACGTCAAAAGGAATAAAAAATTGAAAATATGAAATAGTTAATCAACAAATACCATCAAAAATACATTTTAAGATACTAAATTACTATGAGCACATCCTAGATTTAATGGATGTATATTGCACAGTGTCCCATTTCACATTTTCTCAAAATATTGCCATTTGCATGTTATGTACTTTTGATGCCTGTCAGGTCAAACACACTTGGCAATTTCTTCCACTGTGACTTGTGGAGTTTTTGCCTCCCATGTTTGGAGTTGTCATTCAGGGTCCAGTCATCTCTTTTAAATCTCTTCTGCTACCTCATAATTGTTGTTCTATCTGGTATATACTCCTTTTATACTTTCTTCACAGTAGCATAAGTTTGTGTGACTGTGAGTCCAGGTGAAGTATGAAATTAGGCCACCAAAAGCATATTATGTTATCAGGTGAGAATTGCAGCCATTTTGCAATTTCTTGACTGTGACTGTATTTGAATTTGTGACTATTGAACTGTATTATTATGACCATGACATTCTAAGAGTCAATAAAAGAAAAGAAGATGACATCACAGTGCTAAATGATATTATTTGTACTTGGTTAACATCATGCTGAATGAATCTAACAATTTCCAAAACATTTAGATCATTTAAAAAAATAACACTTAGGATCTTTTCATAATTAGAAAAATTGGTACCTGCCCCACCCAACCCTACCCCCATGTTGCTATAGCAACCATATTAAGACTTAATATTAATGTTTGATGCTGATATAATTTATAGATATAATAGATAAAACTGCAATTGTTATATCCACAAAATTTCAGCTGAATTGAAGAATATTAAAGAAAGTTAAAGCATATAGTGCATTACTTCTGGTACAACGCTCGTATATCCCATGATACTACTATATTTACTTCCCAGTGAATAACACTGGGGAAAATCTTTCATATTAAAAAATCATATTGTCTATCCCAATCCCTCTCTCTGGGCCCTCAGGAAGTATCATACTGTCCCTCAGAATAAAACCCATATTCAATCTCTCCCAGTAAATAACCTCTATATAATATATTTTTAATAGGGATATATACAGGTTAACCATGCAGACCCTAGTATACTGTGACATTGTTTATGGTATCACAGCTAATAATGTTAGGGACTTCACTTATGCTCTAACAAGTGAGACTCCTCATTGAGATGACAATGCCCAGTACACAGTAGGATGGGGTATTGTTAGTACCAATAGATAGAGTAAATATAAGCATTTAAGCTGTTTCCAGTCTTTGCTCCAATGTGAGAAACCATCAAATGAATGACTGTCCAAGAGTCATGTAGCCTCGGCTTAATGAGTTCAGCCAGTATCATTTCAAAGGCTTTTAGGGTATTAATAATTAATCTGAGCCATTGTTTTAAAAAATCAATAAAAAGAACATTTGATACTAACCTTACTTTCTTGCAGAGGCCATGCTGTACTTAGATGGAAAGAGGCACTATGAAGCCAAACAATAGAAGACCATGCAATGGGGGCCAAACAAGAGAGATCCAGTTAATGGAGGCCAAACAATGTGGAGTCATTTAATAGAGGCCAAACAATATAGAGTTATTTTATAGAGGCCAAACAATAGAGGACCATGCAATGGGGGCCAAACAAGAGAGATCCAGTAATAGAGGCCAAACAATGTGGAGTCATTTAATAGAGGCCAAACAATGTGGAGTTATTTAATAGAGGCCAAACAATAGAGGACCATGCAATGGGGGCCAAACAAGAGAGATCCAGTTTATAGAGGCTAAACAATGAGGAGTTATTTAATAGAGCCCAAACAATGTGGAGTCATTTAATAGAGGCCAAACAATAGATTTTACTTGGGGTTCATCGCTTTGCCCCTCTAGCAGGTGTTCAGGGAGAGACGGGGTATCTCCCATTAGAGATTGTACATAAGATAGAAACTATAAGATTGTGGAACAGGTTTGTAAATCTTGAAAGTGGTCGCCTTACTAAAAGAATTTTTAAATGGAGTAAAGACCGCAATAATAACTGGATGAAGGCAGTTAGAAATATATTACAATCTGTTGAAATGGAAGCAAAATATGTAAATACTGATTTTGTTGATTTACCCTTTTAAAAAGGGGGCTCTTTAATAATTATACTCTAGAATGGTTAAATAATGTAAAGGCAAAACCTAAATTAAGAACATATGCAACATTCAAGACAGATTTTAAAGCAGAAAAATACCTTTCACTTAATTTTACAAAATTTGAGCGGAGCCTTTCGGCTCAGTTAAGATTAGGAATTTTACCCCTGCACATAGAAACAGGGCGATTTAGAGGAGAAAAAGTTGAAAATAGAATTTGTACTTTATGTAAAAATAATGAGGTTGAATCAGAGGCCCATTTCCTATTTTATTGTGAGGTATATAAGGACCTTCGGGAGAAATATTTTGGTAATTTGAATCATCATGTACAGCCTGATGGCTTAAAGTCCCCGTCTAAAGTTTGAAAATATTTTTTTATCATTCATTTACTATTTGTCAGGACTTAAAAAGTGATTTTAGAGATTTTTGAACAAAAAATTTTTTTTGAAAAAAAAGTTGTGAGCATTTCATTTCTCAAATATTCAAATTTCCCGCCATTTTTAAAAAAAATTGAAATTTCTTAATCATCAAATATTTCTTAATGCATTTCAAAAAAGATTATCTTTTTAACACCAATGCAAAGATTGAACAAAGGACACACTATTTCAATAATAAAATGCCATAATTAATGGGCCACTTCAATGTTTTAGCATATCAAAAATATTTTGAAACATTAGTGATGTCACTAAGGTACCAAAAACTTTTTGAAAAAAATTGAAATTTTTTTTTCGATGTCAATCTTTTCTAAATATGCTAGACTTTCATAAAAAAACAATGTTGATTGTCTAACCAGGTTAAAAGGAAGAATAAATTATGTTTTAGATATCATTGTACCATTGGTTTCTATGAGAACTAAAATTTTGAAATCCATTTTTCTCAGAACCATTTTCATTCACTGATAAGTTCATTTCTCGCTTATTTTTGAACCGATTTTCTTAATTTTTTCGGCAAAAAACATTGGAGGATGAATGCTATGCATTGGTATGAATTGTGGCTTATTAGAAGATATGAGTGACCTCTAAAAGTTGGTTTTAAATAAATTCACAAATTTTGGAACAAAAAGTCTATCAAAAACCACTTTTTGAAATTTAAAAAAAAGTTTCACATATCACACTTTGATAACATTGGGTAAGACTACAATATAAGCCAAAGTGGTTTAAACTTTATATGGGGCCTTTAAGAATTAAATATATTTTTGAAAATGAGACTTGTAAAATTGTTAAATATACTAGAGAGGCATATGTAAGAAGACAGCAGATGATTTATAATGATCCATGAACTTGTAACTTATATTTATATTTTGAATTTGTTGTTAAATGTTATTATTTGAAGTGGTTAATAAGCCCAATGTGGGCTGGGTTGTTTTACATAAACTTATTTTCTTTGACTTTGTTGTATAGACTTACCACTATAAATAAAAAATAAAAACAAACAAACAAACAAACATATAAGTATTCTTTTGAATATTCCTCCTTTTATGTTTTACAATTTAAAGGTACTTATACAAATAGCACAGTTTGTGCTGAGCTTACCTAAAATGTTAATGTGCTTATCACTCATATTGTATAAATAGTTACTCTTAATATTTAAAGATGGCAGTAAAGTCATACAATCAATACACCATCCACTGCATGTATTTTCAACAAAGAATTGGACCATACATGATATTTATTTCACTAATTGTATAATTTAAAATGTTTAAACTTGTTAAGTGGTTGATAAGCCCAGGTGGGCTGGGTTGATTTGTGTAACCTACCACTATAAAGAACAATAAACTTATCTTATCTTACATCTATTTATGTTAGTATTAGTGAAACAATACCAATATTAAATATACATGTAAATTTACATGTAATTTAATATTAATATTAAATATACATGTAAACTGAATTGAATTATAAAAATTACCTCAATGATTTTGATAATGAGATGATTTTCACTTATTCAAATTAATGGTTACAAAAAGTCAGAAAACCACAGTACTTTGCCACATAAGGGTAGATGAAGCTCTCTTTTAGTCAGGAGTTAAATAAAATTATGAGAACGAGTATGTTGACCTCAGGGTATCCACCCACCAAACCACAAGCTTATGGTGGTCTCCCAGGGGTGGTCTGTGGCTGGCCGCACAGGGGTAACGTCTAGTTCTTGCATAGTCCTGCAATCAGAATGTACTCATCTTGATCTTGCAAGATATTTCATGACTGAAGGAAAACATCGAATATCATGTATTAACTTTCATTTTAATCAAATATAGTTACACCAATTGGATCTCTTGAAAATCCATGATTCAACGGACTATAGTAACCTTGGAATTACTGATATGACTTCAATTTTACAATTAAATCAATCAATCAATTTGAATTCATATGGGATAGGCATGAGTGGATGTACCCTTTACATTCATTCTACTTGTCTCTGTTACTTTAGACCTAAACTCTGTGCTCACATAGACTGCATTCTGATATTCTTTCCCCGGGTACTCTTTGCATCTTTCTGTTTCACAGGCACATAGCTGAAAAACAATTAATGAGATGTCACGGTTTATCTTGATTGTAGATTGCTCAGTGAAAGGCAAAGAAATTGCACTGAAATGTGACTGGAAATCCACAATGATACAAACTGTATATAGGTGGAAAATAATAATCTAAAAATGAAATAATGAATTAAATCATGGCTACAATAATCTGGTATGGCCGTAATTATACCATCAAAACAAAGAAAATAAATATTAACTTGAAATTGTGATTTATTGCAGCATTTTCTACCCAGGTAACTATGATTACACTGTAGTAACAGTATTGATTATGTGTTTCCTATTTTTCTTGTAATATTTCATATTAAGCTCTGTAATTATGTCATCTATACTGTAATTTCCCTCGGAGATCACGCTGTCATAAGAAAACGTTATGACGATCGTGTTTTGAAATTGCAAATAGTGTGAAAAGGAGTGGAATCAGCAAGGAATGTTAATGAAACATATGTGTAAAATGGCAGTATTATAAATTGTATGAAATATCAAAAAGAGCATGTTCATTTGTATTAATAGAAATAATAGCTATTGAACCAAATATTTTTTATTTAGTTTTTAATCTGAGTCAGAGTCCATAGGATATTATTGAGAAAAACAAAAAATGGATTAAACATCTTGAATTGATATTTAATGTCCATTCCGATACTCACTATTTTATAGGGGAATATATTTTGAAAAATTCAATACTTACTAGAAGGGATATCAATTACCCTTCCCTAAAAATCAGTGATATTACAGTCTTTTTGCTCAAAACATTCTATTCTGATGAATTTGAACATTACTGCACCTTTTATTTTGTCTGTTATCTCAATTTCATCTTCAGATCTTTAGATTATTATATGAAAATGATATTGCAAGGGCATGATTGTAAGCTTTTTGAGAAACACACTCTAGTTTTGCTCCCACTTGAATGAATATAAAACAATGAATATTTTGATCAAGAATTTTTTGTAAGGGCTCTAACTCCATTAAGTAAAACAGCATGGAAGAAATAATGAGCATTTGATTTATTTCCTTGCGACGTTTCATTATTGGTAATATTATTGTTTTTTCGTTACTACACCGTATTATAGAAGATCAAAGCACGTAAACCCTCATAGGCCTTATTACAAAGAACACACTCGTCCTGTTTCATTCTTTCAGTGGAAATTATACTTTGTACAAAATGTGTTTATATTTAAGGATCCCACATGTATAAAAAATTAGTTTAGATCACCATATTATTTACCCAATTGTCTCCTTTCCAGGATAATCTGTTTTAGTTTACATTATTTTTTTAAGGGGGATAGTAATTTTGTCCCCACCACAAGTAATAGTCTACAAATTCTTTGTGATGACGTTCGGTGTCCAATGGTTGGCATATGGAGTTCAGCGTTCAGCACCTGTAGAAAATGGTAGGTGGTGACATTTTGCATGTTATTGCTTTGTTTATCCACATGCATTTTGTGTCAATCGATGTAAATGAAAATGACAAAATGTCCAATACAAGTACCTAAACATATGAGATACAACACACTGTATTCCACACATTACAAAACAACACATTCATTCCATGATGAACACACTCAATATAATGTTGTTATACTTCATAACACATTTACTCAATTCATCACATACTCAATTCATTACACACTTACTCAATTCATCACATTCTCAATTCATTACACATTTACTCAATGCATCACAAACTCACTCAATTCATCACATTCTCCTTTCAATGCACACTTACTCGATTCAAAAATGCTCACTCAATTCACCTCACACTTAATTCATCAAACACTGTGCTCCATTCATCACACACTCACTCCATTCATCACACTCTTAATCCATTCATGAAACACTCAATTCAGACAAACACTTCCTCAATTCAACCCAGTTTGTTCTCATTCATCAAACTACATGAATAATGATATCATTGATTGTATACAATTAACTACAACCTACACAATCAATATAACACTCATGGGAGGGGGATAATTTGATTCAACGAAACAGCTACTAATATACTTTCTGCTTTACTTATTCTGCTTTACTTATAATGACATTGGTTTGATTTCACACACCTAAAACATCCTTCAATAAAAGAGTAAAGATCTAAACACTACTACACTCAACACATTTTTTTCCAATATATCATCCTGTTGAATTTAATAAGGTGAACTTTACATTTCATCAGAAAACAATTAATTATCCCGGGTGGATTTATTTTCATGTAGCTTCCCTAAAATTTACGAACACAATTTATTGACCTAACAACACTGCCATCTATTCTATACCACAGTTCTCATCAGAAAGTGCAAAGGAATCAAAAACGAAGCACGATCCTGGACGCTCTCTGATAAAATGGATTTGTAGATAGACTTTTAACAGTCAAAATGTCTCCAGTCTTTGGATTTATGTTCCTATGGATTATAAACACAGTAGGACAAACTCACGGGAGCACAGAGTCCGCTGATATAGAGTCCGCAAGATGCAAAGTCCGCTGTCTGATTGAATATTTGAAAGATTTTGAGGTAGGGAGATTTTGAAATTGAATTTTATTTTTCAGGTTTTTAAAAGATCACTTATAAAACGACATGGACTTTATTGTCATGGAATGATTGTTCAAGATTTATTTATTCTTCTTTTATTGTCACTTTACACCTGGCAATATAAGTTTAATTGAATGTTTGATTTAGTAATATTATTCTACTGTACTGTAAGGCCGGTTATTTTTCATGCTATAAATGATCTTGAAAGGAATATTGGGTGAAGGGATATGTGGTATACGTAATGACTGTTGAGTATTTGGAGGGGGACAGTTTGTCACTTTTAGCGATTTTTGTAAACTGTTTAATTGCCTTTAATTGTTTCTTCATATTTGCACAGACTTCTAGTTTCTTAGTCTGCGATATATGGATTCATATTACTTCGGTCCAAAGCCTTCTCTATATTCCGGCTTTGAGTAGAAAGATTGAGCTGCCTTGGTATTATAAATATTGTAAATCATTGTGTCACACGCACAGTAAATACGGCATAATAATATGAAATATACCTCTATGTATAGATTTGAGAAACATCAGCACACATCTCTGTCTGAATCTATTGTTATATTTGATTTCTTTAAGCGAGAATAATTTCAAAGTTTCCTCCATTCGGAACCGGAAGCCATTTTTTAGCTACAGCGAGAAAATTTCACAATGTGTCAAACTCAGAAAAGAAATTTTGAAATATCTAAATCCAGACAAGCAACGCTTCATCTTAAATATAATTAATATTCTTAAAAATATTTATAAAATTTGTTAAAAATGATTTCTAGGTGCGTGTAGCAATTTTTACATACGAAATACGAGTACATACGAAATCAATGAAGTTACATCTAGCTGTAAGCTAGAGACTCGAGTAAGATTCATACATCTTTGCGAAGTCCTTCTCTTTATTGTGCAGGCACTAAAGGAAGTTATATGTGTTTTAATCAGATATTCAGTTTAGTGCAAGCTTACCAGAAAGTGAGTAGTTAAATAATGCTGTACCACTGCTCCTATAATAATGTTGTGACCGCCTGTATTTCAGAATAATCTTTATACGAGAATATGTACTTACTAAGAAACACTGAATATTGGTATTAACTTGGCATTTAGTTCATTAACACTTTATATAAAAAAGGTATCTTTGATGAGAAGGAACATTTCTAATAACTACTGAGCTAGATTTTTTTGTAAAGTCATATCATAAATCATAAAATGGTAGGACGGACTATAGTTGTGTATCAAGTATCTCACCCCTCTATCCCTATCCAGGGGCGGATCCAGGATTTTGTGTTAGGGGGGGGGGGGGGGTGTGATGATAACTGTGAGTGAATTAAAAAAAAGATTCAAATTTTGTAAAAAGCAATAAGGCAAAACATGAATTTTCCGACTTTTTAGGGGGGGCGTGTGCCCCCCACGCCCCCGTCTAGATCCGCTGGAGCTATCCAACAAGTGTCTGATAAGATAGGGGGGGGGGGGGGTTATATATATATTTTCCCCATTGGCAAAACAATTATATTTCTTAGGGTTTGACGAAAATTAAACTGGTTCTTGGAAAACTGGGATTGGATATTGTTACTATTCAAAATATCATTAAATACAAAATAAATTCAATAAACGAAACAATAAATATAAATATCCTCTTTATTCAGTCATAGCACAGCTGAGCTGGTTTAATTAAAAAACGATTAATTTAATAATGAGTTATAAATGGACCTCTTTTCCAGATTAGTAAGCTCAGAGCTATTGTATCTTTTCCTTTATTAGGCAGAGATTTATTTTCTAATTTAGATTATGCAAAACTTGGTGGCATTTTGCAAGAAAAAACATATATCATTTCTCCAGGGCCATCTGGGTGTTTGTCTATTATAAGGAACAGTGCCTTGAGTCACTCTTTTGGTCGATTATAAAAATTGGAATGAGCTATCGTGAGTTATAGATTAGTGGTCCTTCGACTGAAAATACCAAAAGCAAAGAATGAAGTTATAATTTAGTTTAGAGGTCAAAACCTCGGATATTTGAAATAAAATTTATAATTTTTTATATCAAATATCCGAGGTACTGTAAATTATATACCCTGCGTGCAGAGTCTAGTTAAACTACAAGAAGACGAAGACGAAGCTCTCTTTTAAGAAGTGAAGTCAAACGAATGCAAAGGGTATAAATTATAGAGAAGTGCCAGAGACTAAACCACATATATACTGTACATAGATGTTTATTTTATATATTTATTTATTTGGATATACATTATTTGTAACAGTGGCACTCTTAGAATTGGTGATTGGGTAATGAAAACCCAGAATGAAATTCTGACATGATCCCCACTGATCCCCACCCTAAACAACTCACCCCTACAACCAGAACTGAAGTTGATGGGGCATGGGCAGAGTAGGGGGGGGGGGGGGTACTATAGAGAATAACATGAAATTACAACTCGCTATTGCCCTGTTAATCTCTTTTATGGTTTTCTAGTTCCCATGCACGTCTGATAATAGTAAATGTTACATACTGTTGTATTGCAATAATATTTATATCAAGGTCACCTACATCCAGGCCTAATGGATTATAATTTCTGAATGAGTTCTCATAATAATAAATAGTAATTATTAAAAGCATATAATGAAAGTATTTTTGTGATGAGGTCACATGTGCAAAGTATGTTCCTCTCGCTACTGTACAAAACCCATATTTTCTCTCTGAAATTTGAATAAAGTACAATACAGTATTCAAACACATCTCTAATTCCCAAACACCTCATATGTGACCACTTTTTTCCCAATTTTATGCCCCCATCTTGAAATGTGAACACCTGCTATCCCAGGTTCTAGTGGTGTTCGAATCATACAAGTTTCACTTTATGTAATTTTATACTCATATTTTCTAAATATTCACATATCAGTTTTATTCCTTAACATTAAACAACATTACCAAGTGTACCTTGGTTAGATGCAAGAATTCCTCAAGGTGCTCTAACATGGAAAATGTGGTGAGCTATCTTTTAATCATTGCGCTTAAGGGAGCGTAAAAATTATCAGATTCTTATTAATGTAACCCCAGAGTTACGATCAAGGGCAGAGTAACTATGAAGATTCTGTTAATGAGTGTTACTGTGATCTTCGCACGCTATTCTCAATGCTTTAAGAGGGAATTCATGGGTTATAGACGTTACTTGTAATATTAGATGGTCAAACATCTGATACACCTGTACATAATCCATAATTGATATCTAAAAACAAAGGTGCTTGACCTTTTCTTTGGAAAAAATTGAACTTCAAGTTGATATTCTCGGATACCTGCAATTAAATGTCTATAGTTTCATGATCTTGGGTACATACTGATGTAATGCTGTTGTAATATATAGGGGGTTTGAATAATTTATGAACCCTGACAGACACCTTTATTTATTACCTCTTAATTTATTGCTTTTAATCTAGGATTGATGGGACATACAAGTACTGTAAAAGCTGTGTAAGTACAACAGAACACCTTTGGTATCTTAGAAGTGTTCCCCTTGAGAGGTGTTCTACTTACATGCAGTCTCAGCAGCATTTATTTCCATCAAGTCCCACAACCCTCACTGTTAAATTTTCTATATCTCCATTCTAGCAATTATGTTTGGAAGGGGGGGGTAGACACATAGTACCATCCTTAGTCCAAGGTATTTCACTTCTTTTTGTCGTGACATATAGTACTATTGAACGAGCATAACATCATAACAACTGTGTATTGAATTTTTGAGCAGATTGCTTTATTTTGTAAGTTACTTGCATTAGCCCAGGGGGTTATGTCTTATGCCAGTGAACACTAAAATCACATTAGAGAAAAATCAAAGATTCTTATTCGCCTTGTGTTTAGAGAATAGACCTCGCTGGAAGTAGCATTAGAGCTCACAAATATCAATAACTTAAGACTTACAATATTGTGTGTAAACTATGTGGCTTATGAATGGAGTTTACCTGACGACAGTGGCGGCAATACTCACTGGATAGTAGTTTTTTATTGAGCAATCTTATCAAGGGTAATCTAACGTTTATTTGTCATTCAAAGAGTATAGATGGCTCTGAGAGAAGACATTGGAAAGGGTAAATGAAGATAATCAATGCAAATATTTGTCGCAAAAATCTTATTCTCACTGATGTATATATAGCTCATCTCCTTCTTAATTTTACGAAAAACAATCTTTTATTGAAATAGCCATCATATACTATGATGTATAACCCTCGATTTAGTTTTCCAGAGCTTGTATATATTTTTTTATTTCATTAATAGAGATAGTGTAAATGTAACTCGACCAGCATATTGTTCAGCGGTTTGCTTCTATCTCTGCTTTCACCTCAGTGTGCAAATTGAATGACGCCTTAACAGCAAGTTGTGATTTGATTATTAGATAATTTAGTAAATTATAAAAGAATGAGTTAGACACTGTCTATTTCCCATTTTCTACTCTTTGCCTATTTTAGCTTGTCATGGTTACCATAGCAACGGGAATTGAATTTAAGAAAGCATCATTATGAGCTACGTCCAGCAATCATACAATTTTTATAGTTATATAGCTAGATATTGCGTTTAATCAAGTTCTGTCTGTCACATGGATTAGCATGAATAAAAACGGTTCTGTCTGAGTACTTAACATGTTTCACCAGAAAGCATTAGAGGAAAACTAAAGAAAACCTACAGCCTTAAACAAATATTCCATTGTCAAAGTTTGGTGGAGCTTTGAACATCTGATTTCAACTAGCTATAAATGGGCAAGGAAAACCAAAGTCGACATAAAATGATTTTTTGAACGATATGGGTATTCTAGAGATATACATGTATATGACCAGTGAGGGTTAGATTCCAGAATGGCCCTTGAAAGGATTTGAATTTACATAGTTTTATAGTCAAATCCTTTTCTTGTAATTTAGTTGCTTTTTTCTCTGCCAAGAGATTTGTTGGATGGTTGGGGGATAGGAGGGGGGGAGGGTGGATGGAATGTATAGAACAAGTTATTACAATCTTAAAAC